CGGAAATGATGACGGTGACGTGGAGGACGATGGAGGGCATGTTGGATGTTGTTGTGCTGTCGCTGAGGATGACGATGACATCGCTGGATCTATCAAAGGCATTCTTGGATTTTGTCAACAATCCTGCGAGCCTCGGACATTGTCACCCCCATGTTGTGAGAGCAGCGGCCGAGCAGGTAGTGACGTGTTGAGACTTTTTCAACCAACAACACCTTCTTGTCCTTGCCCTCTTGCTATGCTCTGATCCTCTCCCTCCTCCCTCCTCCTCCCTTCTCCTCCCTTCAACTTCTGATCCTCCTCCTCCTCGTTCTGTTTCATGTTCTCCTTGTCCTGACTCTATGGTTGAAGCTGGCGCAACTCAACACCAACACAAGATACGTGTATGCAGAGGTTGCTCTCAATCCTTCCACTAGAGCGTCACGTTGATACTGTGCTTTCCTCTTCAGCTCACAGATTACGCTGAGCAATTGACGAGACTCTTCCCGGAGGTCGAGATAGTCCTAGATCCTCCTGCTCCTGCCGCTTCTCGTCCTTGTCCTTGTCCTTGTCCTTGTCCTTGACCTTGCTTCTTCGCTTCTGCTCCTTGTGCTCCTCTCTTATTTGGTCTGTCCTGTGACGTCTCCTCTCCTCTCCTCTCCTCTCCTTGCCCCCGTTCCTTCATGTTTTCCTCACGCAAGATTGATGCAGAAACTTCATGTTTGCTTCTTCGTCAACTCAGGCTCAGAAGCGAATGACCTTGCATTGAGTGAGAAACTTGATCCTGTAGAGGTAGAGGTAGAGGTAGAGGTAGAGGTAGAGGTAGAGGTAGATTTAGAGGTAGAGGTAGAGGTAGAGGTAGAGGTAGAGGTAGAGGTAGAGGTAGAGGTAGAGGTAGAGGTAGGTGAATAAGTCGATGCAGATGCAGATGCAGATGTAGATGTAGATGCAGATGTAGATGTAGATGTAGATGTAGATGATAGTGACATCTTTGTCTTTAACAAGGGATCGCAAGGGCCCATACCAAAGCTCAAGATTTCATCGTTATGGAAGGAGCATACCACGGACATACAGAAGGTTATCTTCACGACGAATTTCAACCTTGTCCCTAACGTTTTCGATTTTTCGTAGAATTAATCAAGATTTCACCGTACAAATTTGATGGGAAAGGAGGGTTCCCACAGCCTGCTAATGTTTGGAAAGTTCCAGTACCTGGTATAAGTTGGTTTTGATGAGATAGTTGACGCAAGGATAGATTTAGATGACGATGATATGGTTGAGATTGCTGCTGCTGACACCGCCACCGCTGTTCTTGATGATGATGATGATAGATGCTGATGATGTTCATGAGGATGGGGATGAAGTAGATGCTGGTGTAGATGTAGATGCAGTAGTTGATGTTGATGACGATGATGATGCCAACGAAACGATGTGAACTTCTTATTTCCAGACATGTTCCGCGGAGATCATCGCAGTGATTCAAACCCAGCAAGAAGTTATGCTCTGCATGTGAAGACAGCTCTCGACAAGTGAGTCAGTTCCTAATATTACCGCCCCCTCCTGCTCCCCCCTCCCTCCCTCCCTCCCTCCCTCTCTCCCTCCCCCATCCTCCCCTCCTCCCCTCATCCACTTTCTCTTAGCTCACTCCCCTCCCTGCACGTCTCCCTCAGGATGAAAACTTCGGGCAAGAGACCAGCCGCCTTCATATGCGAGGGCATGCTCAGCACTGCCGGCTACCATCCTCTCCCTCCTCGCTACCTCAAGCAGGTCAGCTCGACCTCAGCTTCCTCCTGCCTGACTCTCTCTCAAAGGTTTACGAGCTCGTGCGCGAGGAGGGAGGAGTCTGCATAAGTGACGAGGTCCAGGTTAGCTCCTCTTCCTCCTCCTCCTCCTCCCTCCTTCTCTCCTACTTGCTCACTCCTCCTGCTCACACATTCTCACTCCTCCTCCTCCTCCTTCTCACTTCCCCCCCCTTTCACCTCACATCCTTCCCCCCCTTCCTCCTTCCCCCTCCTCCTTGTCCTCGTCCTTGTCCCTGCCTCCGTCTCCGTCACGTTCTTCCATTTTCACCACCATGAGCTCTGCCCCCTTCTTTCTCCTTCTACTCTGTTGGAAAGCAGCTGAGATATGTTGTCAGAGTGGGTTCGGGCGAGCGGGGGAAGGGAAGATGTGGGGGTTTGAGTTGGGCGATGCTGTTCCTGACATCGTCACGTTGGGAAAGGTCAAACAATCGACTCCTCCATCACTTCCCTCGCTCCCTTCCTGCCTAGCTGCTCCCTCCATTTGTTTTTATTTCCCCTCTCCTCGTTCTTCTCCGCTCCTTCCCTCCTATCCCATTCCTTGATCTCCTCCTCCTACTCTCTTTCCCTCCTCTCCAATTCCTTGACCTTGTCCTCCTCTCCCCTCCTTCGTCCTCCTCCTCCATTCCCAACTATCCGGTGCCTCATCTTTTGTCGTGCAGCCGATGGGAAATGGCTTCCCTCTGGCCGCAGTCGTCACGACGAAAGAGGTGAGGAGACAGCGGCAGCTACAAGCTGAGAGGAGCAAGTGAGGTTGAGCGGGGGGGGGAGAAGGGGGGGGGAAGAGGGGGAGGGGGAAAGGAGGAGGAGCGGGGGGGAGCGGGGGGCAGGACGAGCAGAAGCAGGAGCAGGAGCAGGAGCACAAGAGAGGCTGACAGTCTTTATTCAGCTAGCAGCATCGTTCGCTAACGGCATGGAATATTTCAACACCTTCGGAGGAAGCACTGCAGCGATGAGAGTGGGTCAAGCAGTGCTGGAGGTGAAGACTCCCTCCTGCTCTTTCGCCTCCTCCTCCTCCACCCTCACTGCTATCCAGCTGTTACTGCAGCTGCGTTCCCCTCCTCTTCTGCTATCCAGCTGTTACTGCAGCTGCGTTCCCCTCCTCTTCTCCTCCCCTCTCTGCCTCACTTTCTCTCAAGGCAATGGTGTTCGATGATGTGTTGCGCAACGTGGACGAGGTCAGTGATGGAGGAGAAGGAGGAGGTGGAGGGGGAAGGGAGATCAGGCGTAAGAGGGACCGAGAGGAAGAGAGGAGGAGGGCAGTGGAGAAGGATGGGACGACGAGGGAGGAGGATAAGGAAGGGGGGCAGAGGAGGAGGACGGGGAGAGGGGGGGGGGTGTTGGGGGGGATGAACATTTCTCTGTGCAGGTGGGGCGACATCTCAAGAAGGAGCTGAACAAGCTGAGGGATCGACATGAATGTATTGGTGACGTACGAGGCTCAGGTCATCCCCCCCTCTCCTCCCCCCTCCCCCACCCAACCACCACCACTCTCCCCAGCCCACCTGCCAAACTTTCCACCCCCGCGCCCCACTGCCACTGCCCCTGCCCCTGCTCCGCCTCTGCCTGCACTTACCTTCTGTTTGGACTCCATTTCTTCTCCCTTCTTTTCCTTCCCTCCTCCCCTCCTCCCCTCCGTCTGCCTCCTCCTTCCGGATATCCTTTCTCTTCCCCCCTCCTTCTCTTCCCCTCCTTCTACCCTTCCTGCAGGTCTCTTTCTCGGCCTTGAATTCGTTCGCGACAAGTCATCCTGCTTGCCTGCTCCTGGCCTGGTGGGGATGGAGGGTGGGAAGGAGGAACAGCGAGAGGGGAAAGGGGAGGGAGATGAATGATCTGAGGTGAAAAGATAGGGAAGTTGAGAGGAGGAGGAGGAGGAGGAGGAGGAGGAGGAGGAGGAGAAGGA